CACACACACACACACACACACACACACACACACACACACACACTAAGCCCAACATAACTGGATTAGGACTCGGCTATGTAGAGAGAGAGGGAGCCAGAGCGAGTATTGAGGTCAACCTAATAAACATTCATCTCATATCTCAGCCCAGCCTCAGCCATACACACACCATGTGTTTCACCCAATAACAAATCACATGAATATTGTGTGTGTGTGTGCGTGTGTGTTGGGGATGTACATGAAAATGATGATGCTTCTCTACTTACTGTTTTAACTAGCATAGTGTTTAAATTCTGAAAAAACGGCTGCTGACTGTTAAGTTCCATGTTTTCCATAAGAATGTGAAAATGTCAGATATCACAACACCCCAGCCTGAGAATGACTGCAAATATAACTCAGTTGCTATAATGCAGTGGATGTGTAATAATTCTGCTTTTGCGTTGAGTTCATCGATAGCAACTTAACTCAGTGTGAATTCACAACATCTCAGAGCACTTAATAACTGTACAATATTACAATCTATTACAGAGACAAATCCAACAAGATTCCATTTGAACAACTATTTGGCGACAGTTGAAAGGAAAAAAAGTGAGAAACCTCCAGCAGAACCAGGCTCAGAGAGGGCGGCCATCTGCCTCACCCAGTCGGGGTGAGGGTAAAGGGGAGCAGAAACAGACACATTAGAATACAATAGGCACCGGGGAGAATAGTGAGGCCAGTACCTGCAGATCAGACTCATCTAGTTCCAGAGCCAGAGGTGCCTGCAGATAGGACAAACAACAGGAGAGAGAAAACACAAAGACGCGATCCCAATCTTCACCCTGAGGCCCAGGCACTGAACTGTGTGAATTTGTTCGGGCTCAAAATGGTACAGAGAAGAGGGACGGGACGAGAAACCATGACAAAACATTGCGCCAGCATCAAACAAAAGGGAATTTGGCCTCATGTTTTATTTGCAGTTTGACCATCTGTTCAGTTGATCTCTCTCTTTGTTTGCGACATTACAGTATTTACACATTTTACCAAATTACCACAAGTCAAGAGAGCCATGAGCATTTTCTGAAAACACTGAGTCTTAAGAAAACGTGTAGAATCCGTGTCGATGAAGCGTTTGACCTCACATTAGCGCTCACAATAGGCTTTAAAAAGTGTTGTTATTGTGTTTAAAGCGGCTGTTTTGTGATTTGAAGTGTTTGAAATGCGTGAGTCAAGAAGCGGAGCTCTGTGAAGGCTGCAGAGTGGGAAAAAAAGAGGACGCCTCGACATGCAAACTCACAGAGAGGATGCGTAATAATGTCACAAGAACCATTTTACAAGTAGAGACGGTCAAACCAGAACTCAGAGCTAAGGTTTTGCTCATATTCTGATCTGATGTATGTAAATGGCAAAAAGGAAAGAATTAGAAACAATGCAATGTGATGCAGTACAACAAAACCTTTAATTATGAGCTCGGTAGTACACGTTTGGTTTAATTTAACAGAAAACAGAACATTTTAACATGTGGCATTTATATATGGTTTTATATTTTATATAAGTTTCTCATACAGAACTATTCAGCTTCATGCACTGTGGCGGTTACATTTTTTATTTAATTGTTCATTTTCTTTGCAGCACACAATCTACAGGAACTACTAGCGTTGCTGTATTGAACATGTCACTGGCTCGAGACTGATGAGCACCTTAATGAAGAGTTCTCACAACCCATTTCCAAAGTGGTCTTTGACATCAGTCCAATGCTTTTAAAAACACAAATACCAACAATACAAACTGCTTCCACACACTTTCTTAGACTATTATCTGATTCTAATCAACTGTAAAGATCCAGCTCTATCCGTCCTGCTGCTGGGTGGTCGTGCTGTGTATTGTGTATTCACGTCGTGCTGCCAGACAATAATGTAATTTCTGTGTCTTCATTTGTTGAACCACTGTTTTTGTTCTTCAGTTACTGGCTCAACAGTTTAAGAGTTATGAGACTGTCTGAGTGTATTTTTTTTTAATCACCACACTCCCTCCACTTCCTGTCTCTCTTGCTCTTTCTCCCTCGTTCCAGAAATGTTGATCGAGTGTGTGAAGAGCAAGGACCTGAAGAAGGTAAGTGATAGTTTCTGCAAACAGCCACTAATGTGCGAATGTTCATCCGTCACAGGTGTGGTTTTGTTTCAATGCTCAATAGGAGAACTTTAATGATCACCGCTGATATTATCTTTATCTGAAATTACACCATTCATCAGAGCCAGAAACTGTAAAAACAGAGAGAATTGATGGACTTTCAACTTTCCCGCAGTCATTTCACCTCATGTCTGTGTGTCATGGATTCAGTCAAAACCTAAAAATGTTGCACTCCTTGGCATAACTGTAAAGCTACGATAGACTAAGCTGAGACAATCACTCAAGTGACAGATATACAAGGACTTTTCTGCTGAACTGCAGCTTGGCACAGCAGTGAAAAATGCAGCATTTGTAGAGGTTGTAAAAATATAAGTAGTATTTTAAACACCTGATGTGTCCAAAATCCCACACTATTTAATGCGCTAAAAGAGTATGTGAGATTTTATTTAGTATGTCCAAAACCTTAGTATGAACCCAATAATTGGGAAATATGACAGTACGCAAGACTGCACATTACGCCGGCACAAATATCCCACAATGCATTGTTTATTATGTGATGCACATAATAAACAATGGTGGACGGCGCCCAAAGCAGCTCAGCTCTTTAGTTCAAGTCTAAACATAAGGTTTAGAGATGGAAGGGGGTGTCTTACGGTTCTGTGTGATATTAGAGAAGCAGATGTTTAGAAGGTAAAAGGAATGACGTTGGTGCGTTACCATAGAAACGCACCTCAAACTGCAATGAAGCTTTCAGGAAGTGACAAAAGTATGTCTGACAATGGTATGTTCAGTATGTAGTGCAGAGTGTGGAATTTCAGAAGAAGACACAATCAGACAGTAGCTACTGAAGCATTTAGAAAATGTTCTTCTGGTTTTGCTGGAGACCAAAAAAAAGTGAATAATATAAAATGAATATTGGACTGGCCGTAAGCATGTGATGATTCACCGTATCAGCTGTCAGGGTCTGATGTTAGGTGATGTGTAGGCAACCGAGGACAAAGCATTCTAATAATATTTGCGCTGTTTGATGAAAATGTTGCCACAAATTTATTTTAATTTAATTTTTTTAACTAAAAGCTGCAGGAGCTGCACCTGAAGGGGGCGGACCTCGCGATGCTGGACCAATCGGGGTGCAGTCTGCTCCACCATGCTGTCACTGCGGGAAGCAAAGAGGTGGTTCGCTACATCCTTGACAACGGTAATGATCAGCTGTGGATTATAATCTACCATTTGTACTGGTATTAGTGGGTTCTTATCATGAAAAGGCTGTTGTCATGCAGTACCTCAGAGCATTTCAGCAACACAATTTCAATATATATAAAGTTCTTTTAGATAAAGAATTCATGATTACACTTAGGTGAGGAAGTGTTCCAGTAACTGGACCTCTTTTTTGGTTTTAAACATATTTCACTGCTCATCTAAGAGGTTTCTTCAGTTCTAACTACCTGGTGAGGTATTTAGTCTCATAGTCTAAGACCCGCATGACTTAAGAGAATAAATACACAGAACTGCCCAAAACCACAAAAGTAAAAGTTTTACTGAAGTACTTGGGATTACCATGACCTGGATGACTGAGAGCCTACACAGACGTCATGACAAGGAGAATGAATAATGCAATTCATAGCAAAAACATATATGTATTGACTTGTGTTCCCAGAAAAGCAGCGAACATGGCTGGCAGGGTGAATACATGCCGTTGATACTGGCCTGGTCTGATGTCTCTTTGCTGTAATCTCCTTTCATCTGTCTGTTTTTCAGCTCCAAGTGACCTGCTTGATGTCACAGAAAAGCTACAGTAAGTAGAGTCAACAAATCAAATGTTAAAGCAGGAATGAATAATGAAGGGATTTCAAAGTGCTGATCGTTGTGTTTCAACCCTATTCCAACGATAATAAAGTAATTTTTTTTGATGAACATACTGTAGAAGACATTATGGCTGAGAAAGCTATAAAAGTTTGTTCTGTGACTGTATGTTGGCTTTGATGTTGTTCCATATGTGCTTAGTGTTCTAACAAGTGTACCAAAGTTTAAAGAGAATAAACATAAGAAACCGACTTGAAGCAGCAGGGTGCCTGATCATAAATTATGCTTGACTCCCAGAAGACATGAAGCTCAATCACACTCTGTCTTTCTCTGTGTGTCTGTTCTGGCGACCACCAGTGGGGAAACGGTTCTTCATCGAGCTGCATCTCTGTGTCACAGAACCATCTGTCATTATCTGGTAGAAGCTGGAGCATCGCTCATGAAAACAGACCTACAGGTAGGTTCTGTGAACACACATATGAACAGCCCAGAATAAGAGAAAAGAATAAGCTTCCACCTGCACCAGTTTCATATTAGAACATAAACTGATGTTAAATACACAACACACAGTTTCACTTGTTCTATTTCTGCTTTTTCTGAATAGCCTGCCACTGTAAAAGTCTCATTTTCGAACAGCTATTTCTATTTTTTCCAACTGAAAAGAAAGTTAAAAAGCAAACATCATGTTCCTGTTTTTTCCCAAGATCAGACCCTGGAGAATTTTGACTTTGTTCTGCAACACTGACTCATTTCAAATTAAATGTGATGTTATAATAATTAGGCAACCTTGGTTTGTTCCAGATCTCATTTCCCAGGAATATTTACTTTATGGGACACTAACTCTCCATATGAGTCAGTTTTTACGTTTTCAAATAAAGGATAAGAAAATAAAGAAATTTTCCATCCTCACAAACACACATTTTGCGTGCCCATTATCCATGGCTCACTCTGGTGTGTTTTCATTTAAATAATCTTTTGGCTTGTCTGTTTTTGTCCTTGGGGGATCCTTAATGTCCCTGCATGGGTTTTCTCCATGTACTTTGGCATCCAGCAACAGTCTAAAGACATACATTTTTCTCTCCAAAGGATAAGCGGCTTTAGCTAATGGTATATTAGTAATATCCATATAAAGTGCAAATCAAGAATTCTCTACACTCTGGTGTTTTGAATGACATCTCTGTCTTCAGGGCTTCATTCTTTACATCATCCAGAACAGGTTGTGAATAGTTTAACTCCTGATGTACAGTGTCTATAAGAAACATCCACCCCTCTTGAAGGTTTCCCCTTTTATTGCTTTTCAGATTTCAAATTTAATTAGACCTTTTTTGGCAAGAATTTACAAAAAAATCTGCTTTCTTATCAAAGTGAAAACAAATTTCTACAGAATAATGTCACATAAAGAAAATATAACATGTAATATAAGTAGTTTTGTTTCAGTGATCACAGGTTTTCTTATTGACTTTCTGCTTCGTCACCTCTTTTGTCCACTAATGGCTTTGTTCTATGCATTTAGCCAAAGTGGCTTTTACTCTGGGTCCCCAAACAAGCTTTAGGAATTGCATACAAATGTGTTAATTTGGAGAGCTGTCGAGGGCTTGCCTTGATATACGCTGTTTTGTGTGAATTTTAATTTCCTTGGATCTGTACAACAGCCCACAAAGGCAAGTTTATGAGAAATACGCAGGTTGAAATAAACCAGAATTATCTTTGAAAATACATTTCAATTAAAACAGCTTCTTTTTGAAAGGGCTAAAGATCAGGAAACGCTGTGGACGTAGCGCCGTCAGACCCCTGTATGTGAGAGCAGTCTGTACGGATAAACACGAGAGAGAACTTTGCACTGTGAACAGGCTTCAGCATGACCATTTGTCTTGGAGCCATAGTGTGGTGGCCTCTGAAGGCTGCTGCATTGGCTTCACAACTCAGCTGTGATGATTGCTGCTCGGCAAAATCACAGCTTGGAAAATAACACTGCTATTGTGGCTGTCTCTTGGTGTATTTGCATACATATATATATATTTATATGTATATTTGTGTGTGTGTGTGTGTGTGTTGGTCTCAAATATGCATCTTGTTTAGTTTTCCACGGAGGTTTCGACTGTGTAGAAAAAGCTCTTAACTGGCTGGACTGAGCAATGACCTAGATACAGAGAGGGAGAGAGGAAGGAGAATGCAGAGAGAGAGAGAGACAGACAGGCAACATGAGAGTGCAGCGAGTGGAAAGAGGCAAATGACTTGAGAAGCAAAGACTGATTTTGACATTCGCCATAAAGTACTTTGTTTCATCTCTAAATCTCTGCACTCACCACTCAGAACCGCTCTCTCACTCTCTTTTTTTTTTGTCTCCGTCTGTCTGGAGTCTGGATGGTTAATACGAACTAGAGCCTTTAGACAAAGCTGCGCTGGACTCGCTCTGGTGTTGAAATAAAGCTCATATCCCGTTTTCTCTCACTCTCTGCCTCACATCTCTCTTCCCCGAAATCTGGTAGAACCCCAAATACAGATGCACTGCAGAGGACGTTACACTGACTTTCATTTCTGAGAGACAAATAACAAAAACAACAGTAACTCAAACTTCCACGTAAACAGATTTATGGAACTACATGAGTAACACAAGGAAACACACTGGGCTGTAGTAATTAGCGTCTGTCCTCGACTCTGGATGTGAATCAGCATCATGGCTCCTCCCCCATAAACAGCCACTTAGGATATGTCTGTCTGTTGTGTGTCTGTCTTTGTGTGTCCTCTCAAGGACAAGTGCTGTTTATTTCATTTCCAATTCAGTTTTTTCTCATTATCTCATTTTTATCAGTTGGAAACAATGCTACTTGAACAACAGCAACTTTTCAATTATAGAGAAATGTAAAAATGGAAAAACTCATCAACACAAGCATCAGCTGGCCTGTAAACTCACCATCACACACATTTTAGACACGGCAACCAGAGCCTAATGAGAAAACACAGTTTCCCAGCACAGAGAAGAGGAGAAAAGTGGGAATAAGACTCCGAGAAAAGCCGGTTAGACTTGGGGCTTTTAGACTATCAAGCAGCTCAGGGTTCATGACAGCTCGCGGTGCCTCAGCGTTGGGCTGCATGAACAACATACTGGCGATTTGGTTGTTTGCCATACAAGAGGAATGTCAAAGGTGTCCATGTGACCAGTGTGGACTTGGAAAGCAGATCAGTCCAGACGGTCCTCGTATCGAGGACAGAAAAACACACTGGGCTCCTGTGAATGTTTCCGAAAGGCTGCGACTTTGCACTTTTTACAGGACACAGCAGCCCGTTACGGATCAGCTGTATGTTAGTGTGATTGTTGTAGAGGTGTTCCAAACAGTTTGGACAACACTGAAGGAACGCATCTACAGATCAATGCACTTCCAAAGTCCAGCAGCGACGACTTCAACTATCACTCTTTTACTGATAAATTATAAAGGCGTGGGTGACTTGGAGTCTCCTCACACAGCCACATGTGCAGTCCAGATAATTTGGCATGCATGCTGATGTCCGTGGAGGGGTCCTTGAAGGAACTTGCAGACTTGGATGGATGAAAACTTACTTATGCAGATATGCAGACACTGAAAGCATTAATTGGCCGTAAAACCTTGATTTTACTTGATAGTGGACAAAGGCAGACACCACAAACCTGAAGTTGTTTGGCATTATACATCTGTTCTGTGGACTATGTTCCACACATGCACAGTGTGTAGTTGTAGTGGTGTCTCCATATTATGTGCACAAAGTGTTCTTGGAGTGCAGTTGCTGCATGGACATAAATTCTGAACTGTGCATGGAGAAGTCAGGACAGACTTTTGAAACATAGGAAGATGACAAAATATACATCATGCGGATCCTCGTGTACTCGTAGAAAGCCAATCCAAATGGCATATTTAAAGAACCAGGAAGCCTATTAGATTTTATGATACAAATATGTTCATTTGACATATTGTATAGTATCTGATCAGTAAAACAGTTGGCAGCTTGTGCCTGTGTAGTTTGCCACAATGAGTGCTTCAGTTGGCTACTTCTTGTGTGTAAATCGTATAAAAGTGTGGCCATTTGGAACGCTGTAGTAGGATTGCACTGCTTTCCTTTATTTGCTTCTCCTTCCTGTAGCCTCTGATGGTGAGTGTTAAGTTATCGTGACCCATAGAGGCCCAGTAGCCACATTTATGGGACCTATACCAACTTAAAATCAACTGAAACTATCCTTCAAATTAGAGAACTTCTCTTTAAAGTTTAAAGATGGCTGTTTCTTGGTGGATACTTGCACCCCGCTCATACTGAAAAACAGGTTCTTGCCTCAGAGGAGTGTCCCAGGTTCTTTGGATGCAAAGGTCTACAGCTCAGTCGTATTTATGAGTGTGTGATGGTGGGCCAAGCAGTTGATCAGCACTTCATACAAGTGTAGATATACAGCAGTGGCAGCCAATCCTGTCTTCTCACCAATTCCCATCACATCCAGGGTCTCTCCTGTGTACATCTTCAGGATAAAATGGAAACCAGATGTGTTTGCATGCCGATGAATGTAAAATATCCTTCCCAGTTTGATTCTGTGTTGCCTGTAAGTGCTGTGAGTTTACTGTGGGTGGCGAGTGGAAGAGAACAAAGAAACGCCAGGGCCCCCAAAGAGTTGAAATAATCTATAGCTGTCTGCTCCTGTAATTCTTTGTGTCTCTTTAACAGGGCGATACTCCTAAGAACAGGGCTGAGAAGGCTCACGATGCTGAACTGGCGGCCTATCTGGAGAACAGGCAGCATTACCAGATGATACAGAGGGAGGATCAGGAAACAGCTGTCTGAAAGTGTTGAAGTCTTTCTGAACGGTATGAAGAGAGTCTGTTCCTTCCTCATCTTGACCAACCAGACTGACAGCAGCTCGTTGATGCCTGCGCGACATCAGGACTGGACTTCACATTCCAGTTGACTGCTGACATTCCTCAAAAGCAGACTAAGTGACGCTGTGCCAAATCTGATCTCAACATGCGTTTAATAATGAGGGCTTATGTTAATGAGGGCGAGGCTACACCGTTAGATTATGAGATGCTCGTTAAATCATTCCTTTTCATTTTGGATAGCTTGGTATTAAAAAAAAAGTGTTTGTGAAATCCTTTATGTTTCTGACTTGGAATATCAACCTGAGGAGTTGGCAAACTTGATCTGCTACAAACCTCCATATCAAGCAACAACACAAGAGTCCACGTACAAACTGCCATGATCTAGTGATGCTCCTGGAGTTGAATTGTCTCAGAATTTTTTTGCAGATTCCAATTTTTAATGTGACAATGGCTGAAAAAAATACAAAAAACCTGCAAAGCCCATTTTCCAGTCTGACCGTGCTTCACTCACACTCACCTTTCCAAAGTTTTCCTTCTGAGTGAGATCATTAAATAAACTGTGTGCAGCTTGACATTTGAAAATGGCTCGAGATGAAAGTTTATCAAGGAGAACCTCATGGGAAACAGAATCCAGTGAAAAGGCCAGATTGTCAAAGCGACCCGGGTTCATCCTCTGGGGACCACAAATACCCACAATTAACTTTATGGAAATCAGACCACTATTTTCATGAATCAAAGCGTTTGACATTAAGCGTAACAGATCCTGAAATCACAAGGATTCATAAATATCTGGTTTCATGACAGCGTAGTGGTTTTTTGACCAAACTGTCGGACAGATCAGAGGAGCTACTGACGTTTCCATCAGCTTGTTAATTAGCAGTTAATTCACTGAACATTAATGCCACCATCAGTTATCAACATTATGTATTGACATTGTACTTACTGCATATATCGGTTGGTTTTCATCATACATGCTGTATTTTGTTAACTTGGACTGGCATATTCTACAGACAATTCATGTTTATATGTTGGAAAATATTCAAAGAAGGACTGAAAGTCTGAGTTGGATTCCTGGACTCAGATGACTTTACACTCGTACATGAGATCATGATACAAACAGCAGTTAAATTGACACAATGCACAGTCATTTTTTTTGTTTGTTTGTTTGTTTTCAAAGACCAACATCTGAAAAAAATCAATATGTGATTACGTTCTTCTTTTGATGACTGTGTGTGAAGGGTCTATTACAGTCTAGAAATGTCAGATTAGATCAAATGGATGTGTACGTGCTTTAGATCAATAAAAGAAATTGTTAATATTTTATTAATCGTGTTGTTAAAGTCAAGTCAATCACCCAGATCCTGGATGATTAGGATCTTTTATTAAAAGGTATATTCACAAATCAATGTAAAAGCAACAACCCAAACCCCAATTCCTCGCTAAACTCGCTGAAACTGGACAGTGAACTGTGATGAGGACGGCACCGGCACTGAGCTGTGAGGTACATTATATTTTCGGGGACACTTTTGTGAAATCAAAGATGAAGCTTTTCACTTCAGTTAATCCTCTTAATCCTTTGAAAAGCTGTAAATTTGTACAAACACGAGGTTCGTTCCAGAAAAACGAGTGGGAAAGCCCTCCTCCAGATTAAACTGCCAACAGTCTTAAATCTATCGACGTCTAAATTATTACTCTGACTAACAAAGTGACGAGGGGACCGAGGATATTTATGTGCATGTTAGTGTCCTGGACCTGTGTTTGATCTGACAGCTGGAATGTGAGAATATATTTAACAGCCTTATCAGACGCTGAAGGCAAATCAAAGCAGCCGTTCTCACCTGCTCAGGTACAGAAGTGACAGACTGGATGAGATGCAGGCGCCTCAGAGACCAAATCAACAAAATTCCTTCCTTCAGACAGCAAGAAATAAAAGCTGCGTCTCCAGAATGATGCAGAAGCCTGATCAGAACCCTGGACTCTGTTCCATCACGTCTACAGGGAGATGAAGAATTAGGTTTCTCATGTTCTGTGTGAACAAATGGGATCAAAATAAAACTCTGGGATACTAATGTGCATGTAAACATCGTCAAGACGTCTTTAGAAGCACAGCAGGAAGCATGTCACCACTGTTAACATGAGAATGGTCTTTTAAGTGTGAAGGCCTTCAGTTACAAAGCCTACAAAGAATACACAAAGATTTGAACAAGAATAGGACCTTTTGGGCCTCTGCTCCGTATAAAACTGAAGATCTGCTTTGAAGAGAAAAGCAAGTGAACCAGTCCTCAGCCCGTTTGAATCCTAATTGAGACTTCTGGGAGTCTGATGATGTCAGGCGAAGCTTTGTACAGTAAATTATTAGAACATGCGATGACTCTGATAAGCGAAAATCAGCTATTAAATATTGAAAAACCAAAAAGTGTGAAGCTAATTTCACTCATGTTGTTTAGTTCTGTTTTGCCTGTGAATTTCAGCATTTTGAACTTTTTCGATGTCTTCAGGTTAGCTTTGCATTGACAGTAAATTCTTGCATGTGCTGCATCACAGTGATGTACAGTAGGTTAGATCTTTTCTTCTTTTTTTTAAAATTACATCTGTTGCCAATACAGTTTTTATTATTTCATGTTTAATACGTTTTTTTTTGTTGTTGTTGAAACATTGGTGTGAAATAGTAAAATAGTTTGAATTTTTCTATTTTTGTTTGTCTTTCTATCTCTGCATTTGTTAAGTTGTTTTAAGTTCTTTGTTTATTTTTGTTTTTGAGATCGATATGAAGATAATAAAAGAAGGCAGAATATTTAAGGCTCGTGTTTTTTCTTGTTGCTTTCGTGTTTTTATTTTACAACAGTTCAGTTCAATTCAGTTTTATTTGAGAATTTGTGAACCCTCCAGAATGTTCTATACTTAAATATGACCTCCAACCATTGTTGGGACTATGTTTAATGGACAAATGAGACCAAAATAATAATAAATGTTATGAGGAGAGTGGAAACGCCCCATCCCATCTGTGAAACACGGCGGTGGTAGCATCATGGCTCGAGCCTGCTTCGCTCCATCTGTCCCAGGACGTCTCGCCATCATTGACGGAACAATGAATTCTGAATTATCGCAGTGAACTCTAAACAAGAATGTCAGAACATCTGTCCCGAACTGAATCTTGAGAGAAAGTGGGTCATGCAAGCAAGACAGCAAACCCTGAGCACATAAGTCGTTCTACCACAGAATGGTTAGAGGAGAATAAAGTTAATGTTTTGGGATGGCCAAGTCAAAGTCCTGACCTTAATCCAATAGAAATGTTGTGGAAGGCCCTGAAGCGAGCAGTTCACATCAGGAAACCCACCAGCATCCCAGAGTGGAAGCTGTTCTGTACGAAGGAATGGACGAAAAAAAAACAAGCAGGACTGATCAACACTTACTGGGAACAATAAGTTCTAGTTATTGCAACACAAGATGGTCACAGCAGATACTGAAAACAAAGGTACTCTTACCACTCACTCACTCACTCACTCACTCAGATATTCATTATTGGATCATGTTCCTCCGTAAATAATTGGCCAGCTGTAATATTTTTGTCTCATTTGGTTAATTGGTTCAGGAAAAATGTGAAAATGTTGGATGTTTTAGCTCACATTTAATGCAGGAATAGAGAAACTCCAATATTGTATATGCTTGATAAATGCTTTAGTGGCAATAATTCACAAAAAAAAGTGAGAAAATGTGTGGAGATATATACATGTAAAGCATTCTAGTTCTAAATATAATGCACTTTAAACGACTTATGACCCTGTCTTTAGTCTGCTCTGCCCTTGTTCAGAAGACTTGTGATATGTATTTGTGACAAGTTTACGTGTAGATCTTGGAAATGAAACAGCTCTGATAAAATACAGATAAAATGTAAGACTTGAGACTAGAATTTGATCTGATATTGTGCAGGCTCATTTATAAGCCAATCAAGTTTTCTTTTGGATGTTGCTGCTAGCTCTGGACCTGATTATCTCAGACAAATGAAGATGAGTGCAAAGAGAGAGGAAAAAAAATGCATTTTCAGATCTTAAATTGGGATCGGACTGAGCTGAAAGAAAGGGGATTTCTCAGGAGCTCAGTTTAAAAAGTAAAAGACAAAAATCTCATGCTGATGGTAAACTGAGCTTCTCTGAGCTCTACCTGGGAGAAATGGACCGGACAAGGAAAACGTGTAATTGTCTTCTCTCATCTAGGATAACCTTTCACTCGCCACGCTACCTTTGGTATTTCCTGACAGCACACGTTTTCCACGTACTGCTGTAATCTCTGTGGCTGCAGATCTTGTTGCTGTCCACTCTCATTTTCTGGGCTCACATTCAGGTTTGAACGTGGACAGACAGATTTGAGAGGCCAACTTTTCATATCAAGAAAGAATAATGAGTAGTTGTACAGTTTGTGGGGCTGCAAGGTGGTGCAGTTGGGTAGCACTGTTGCCTCGCAGCAAGAAGGTTGCCGGTTGGCATCCCAGTGGAGGCACCGGAATCTTTCTGCGTGGAGTCTCCATGTTCTCCCTATGCAGCGTGGGTTCTCTCCGGGTTCTCCGGCTTCCTCCCACACAGTCCAAAAACATGTTGAGGTTAATTGGTTATTCCAAATTGTCCGTAGGTGTGAAGTGTGAAGTGTAGCCCTGTGATAGACTAGTGACCTGTCCAGGGTGTCCCCTGCCTTCACCCTAAGTCGGCTGGGATAGACTCCAGCCCCCCATGACCCTAATGAGGATTAAGCGGTGTATAGATAATGGATGGATGGATGTACAGTTTGCTTTCAGAACCTGTGCAAAGGATGAGGCAATGCTCACAAGCGGGGGGTGCTTAGACTTCCAGAAGGTGGCCAATCAGAAGAAAGTGGGCTTTGAGGGAGGCGGGACTTAAGGAGCTTGGAGAGGTTCAGCTGAGGGGCTAAATAAAAGGCCCAAAAGGCATTTTATGACGTGTGAGTAACACAAAGCTACTCTAGTGGAGTCCTCAAATAAAATAAATGGATATATTTTTTATTTTAAATGCATATTTACAGCATATATAGCATTAATCTGTGCACCTGGTTAGCAGCTCATTGACATCCGAAATATTCTCCCTCCAACTCTGCTACTCTGTCAGCCAGCAGACACTAAAAGAGCAGAGTCTTCTTACACCACGTTATTTGTTCTTTTTAGTTTATTGTCTTCATAAAAGTAAAACTTGCATTGTTTCCTTCATGTTGCTGCCCCCTGAGCCAAACTCGTAACAACGCTAAACAGCTACACCCATTAAATAAACTCAAATTTATTAACTCCCACAATGTGGTAATCAAGCTATTGTGCATTATACATAACAGCAGTTTTGGTCCTTGCAAAATGTTATTGCCTTTTGATGTGCTTAACACTGCAAAACCCCTCATACAGGTCGTCACCCACCTGCAATCACAAAGAGTTTGTTCAAGAAATAAACCTCTGAATTAGCTTCAGTGTCTCGAGATTTTTTTGATTTAAGTTGACCTGGTGCGTTCAGTGAAAACAAAATGAAACATTTGAAGCTAGAAGAGATGAATGTAGTATCTAGTTTCAACTAATTAGAATGTCATGTGAATATGAAGTCATGTATGCCAGCCTGCCTTGTTTATTGGACGTGATGTTTGAGTCCAAAACAAAACAAAACTTGTTTCATCAGGAAACTCATACAGTTTGTACAACAATTTCTGTTTGTTGCACAAGAAGGTTGATGTGCATTGATCCTGGTATTGATTGCTATGGATCTGGTTGCAAAGAGACACAGTCAGAATCCAATTAGCAACAAGCCAGGCTTTTCTTGTTTACCAATCTCCTCGAGCAATTATGGAAGTCTGTGACTGATTCACAGGAATACAATGAGACACAAAAGTAACTCACTTATTTTTTTTCTCAGAAGTCATAGTAAAAACATAACTGATGCTCTGGTGCTGCTGATGGTGTGTTCTCGCTAACCACATCACAACATTCCTCAGCCTTTGCCAGATACGCAACTCCAGGGACAGTTTCTCAATATGGGGCACCGAGTTCAAGGGTTAAAATCCACACAGCAGTTTTTCAGGGTCCATCAGAAGCCAGTGAGTAGGTACGTTCTTCTCCCCAGAAAGCAGCCTTAAAACAGGGGCGGGTCTTAAGATCAAGACATGCTCACAGGTTTGGCCCGAAAAAGATCAATAAATATCTCCTAATTTTTAGTCTTTCTGTTTCCATTGCGATGTAGGATCCACCACTCATGAGGTGATGTAATTATTTTAAGACTGTTTTGAACACACTGTCAGTTCCAAACGCTTCAAATCAACAATGGAAGATGGTGACTACCATGCTGTGTTGAGTTGTCCTACATGACCAGTTTTACATTGTTGACGCCGATGTTTGAGAGGAGAAGACTGCTAATGGAAGAGGACGTCAAGAGGACAGAAAAACATGGCAGTTGTGTTTGTTGTCCTCTTCCAGTTGAAGTAATCAGCACCCAGTGCCACTCGGAAGTATCCACTCTGGAGTAGGTTATTTTATTTCCCTTCAAAATGGCCCCTGAAGTCCTATGGGGGCAGATCCTGTGTTCAGAACATGTATGAAGAAACGGGGTGGTCAAGAAAGAAACCCTGAGTTCCTGCAGTGGAAGAAGACCAAGAGGTCCATCTGCTGCAGAGGAGAGGTTCACTGGAGTTATACAAACTCAGAAATCCACACATTACAGCAGCTCAGATTACAATCCACATCAATCCTTCCAGATTTCAAGCAGCAAACGCATCGTGCTTCTACTTCAACTGCTGCAAGGAAACCGCTGCTAAGGCAAACCGAGATGGAGAATATTAGAAATCATTAGGAATGACCAGTACACCTGTCTGGACTTTAGTCTGATGAGTCCAAATGTGAGATTTTTGGTCCCAACCTCTTAGACTTTCTGAGACGAAGAAAGTGAACCATTTATGATCTTTTTGGTGATTTATACTGAATTCAAGGCAACACTTACCAAGTTCAGTAACCACAACGTTCTGCAGTGTTGTGTGGTTTTCTCTTATTAGTATCATCATTTGTTTTTCAGCGCTGACCTCCAAATCTACCTCCAAGCTCTGTAAGGGCTCTTTGACTACTCTCATCCAGCCTGTCACACGCCGCAGGCAACTCACCTGGACAGGAACTTGGTTTAAATAACACTTGTCGTGAATAGCAATAGATTTTGTATTGATTCCAGCTAAGATTGTGTGTCTTCTGTTCTACATACCCAATCAGGATGATATTTCAACTGCTCTGTCCAGATCAAAAGTATCGATCGTTTGGTCTTGTTCTCAGTATGCTTAATGAGCAGCTGAAGGGTTTTCAGGGAGCAAGTGACCTGTATCGCTTGTTTTTTTATTTTCTCTTCATTGATTACTGTGAAAGTGTCGTCCTGTGAGTAGTAATGAACTCTACTGGACTCTGCTCAGAGGAGACACAACTGTGTGTCAAAGGACGAATGGTTCAGAAAAACCTACACATGTTTCAGAGTTGATTTTTATTTATTTATTTATATATTTTTAAAGCAAGACTGTTAAATAGCCATTTATATCCATGAGCTGTTCATCCACACAGTGGCAGTGATTTATCCAAACACCCCATGGCTGTTTGAGTGGGTCAGGTATGCATCTCTGACTTTTCTCTTATAATCATCTCACTGAGCAAAACATATAAATAACAGCTGCTCTGAGAGGAAGCAAAACAGATGCAACACTTAGATCATGTGGATGTTTAATCCAAAAGGGCTGTTTTTCTTCTCTTTGTGTAAAATATTTCAAATCATTTATGTGTTCAATGG